CGAAGTACACACATTGTGAACTTGGGAAGTTCTTGGTTGTCACTATATATTTTGAAGTATTTCCACCAAATTAACCAATAACTTAAAAATGGAACTCTTTGGACTTTGAATAGTTTTGTTACATAGTGTCCTTCTTTGTATTAGTGTTACCTATTCCTGTCTTTAACTACTCATTGGAGTCACTTTTTGAGTGGAATAAATGCCATCAGCCTTATTATTAGTGTCATCATTTCATTTTAACAATAAGCGATATTAATTGACTGCAGCATACAGTGCGTAGGGAAAGTTCTATAATACTACATATGCACAAGAAAGAGCTCTCCTGTGAATGAGTGCCTGGTACTTGAGAGTTTATCAAATGTGTAATTATTGGCATCATCTATGCATATTTTTAAAAATCCAACTTGCCTCCTAAAATACTTTCCCCTCAAATCAGTTTAATGTACCTTAATGAATATTTTAAAAATACTTGTATAATTTAAAAAATCTCATTGTAAAGATTTATTAATCCATTTTGCAGATGGTAAAATAAACTACTGGGGGAAGCACAGTATTTTAAGAATGAGCAGAGTCTTATGTGTATGAATGGGTGTGTGTGTGGACCATCAGCAAACGTGTACTGAGCACCTATTATGCATGTGGTAGGTACTGTAACAATACTGGAACTATAAAAAGGAATAAAGCATAGTCCCTGTCCTTGAGAATTACATAGTGTGGAGTGATAGATTTTCAAATAAAAATTATAATAGAAAATGATAGCACTAAAATAGAAGCAGATTTGCCCAGGGGAGTTGAGAAAGTCTTGCAGAAGACTTGAGGTTTTTAAAAATTGTTTTTATTGTATTTTTTCCATTATCATTTATCTCCCTTGTACCCTCACCCACCTCCACACACTCCCCTCCCTCTCACAATCACCACCCCGTTGTCCAAGTCCATGAGTCCTTTTTCAAGTGATGAGCTAGGGTTTGGTAAGAGCAGGGCCAAGAAGTTTGCAGTTAGAAGCAGAAGACTGGAAAGACTCCAAGGAGTGAAAATACATGATGTGCATGGCAAGAGCTGGAGCGTGGAAGACAAAGGCAGGAATCAGGGAATGGAACTCCTCTCTGCCTCGTTTTTACCTGTTACTTACTCTGACAAAAAGCTTAGGAGGGAGCATGTTGACCTTTGTGATCAATGTTCAAAAGCAGATAATTGAAAGTAGTTTAGAATGGGAGAGTGAGAAATACAGCAATCTAAACCAAAATGCTAGAGACTCCAGGCGGGACCTCATGACTGCATATCTAATTCTTCCAGAATTATTATGTCTGTTCACGTGGATTCTTTATGTAGGCATGCATTTATGAATAATGCACACCTAGTCTTTTAAAGAATATTTGAAATAATAAAGATTGTAATAGTTTTATACTATTTGAGTGCAATTAATGTAGGCATTTGTTACATTATAATAGGCAATATTTCTAGCTGGTTTTAAGGGAGAAAACAACTTAGGCATTGACAAAATTGGTTTTCAGTAAATCCTGAATGATTTGTCTACATGAATTAATATCATCATACTTTGTCTCATGTGTTTCCCATGGAAATAAAATGTACTCAAATATTAATAAATTAGTTTGTCATTCTAACTGAAGCTCAGCAAGTAAGAGATGCTCAGTTACCCTCCTCACACTCTGCATGCTTACCTATTTTCACACATGGGCAGCCAAAAAGGGAAATGTCAAAATATCATTTGAAACACTGTTTTCAAGTTAAAATAACATGGAGTATAACTTTTGGTTTAGGAAGTGATGTGGGAAACTGCTAGACTACTAGAAGTCTCTTGTTTCCTACAGAATTATAATTTACTGTGAAAATTTTAAATATTTTAGCCTGTATTATATTATAGAAAAAAGGCTTATTTAAAAAAATGAAAATTATTCAGCCTTAAACAGAAAAAAATCCTGTCATATGCTATGATTTGAATGAACCTCGAGGATATTATGTTCAGTAAAATAAGACAGTCACAAAAACCAAGTACTTCACGACCCCACTTCTATGAAGTATCTGACATGGTCAGAATCAGGAAATAGAACAGTGGGTGCCATGACAGAGGGAGGGTAGAGGGGGGAGTTGTTCAATGTGTACAGAGTTTCAGTTTTGTGAGATGAGAAAGTTCTAGAGATTTCGTTGCACAGCCATGTGCATATAGCTAATACTACTGTACCCTTAATAATGTTTCAGATAGTACATTTTCAGTTAATGTGTCTTTTACTACAATACAAAGAGCAACAAAACAAAAACAAAAGGTATTCATTTTACTATGAAGGTTCACATTTAAAAAAGGGTAAATTTTGCCCTGGCCAGGTTGCTCAGTTGGTGGGAGCCTTGTCCCATGCACCAAAGGGTTGAAGGTTCAATCTCTGGTCAGGGCTCACACCTTGGCTGTGGGTTCGATCCCCGGTTGGGGCACATGCAAGATTGATGTTTCTCTTGCTCTCTTCCCCCTCCTATCTCTTCTTTTCTCTAAAATCAATAAATATATCCTTGGTTGAGGATTTAGGGGAGAGGGGAGGGAATTTCAGGGGAAAAGGGGAAGGGTTTACAGGAATAAGTATAAAGGACACATGGACAAAAAGGAAGGGGGTGGAAATGGGAGGGAGGTGGGGAGGGCTGGGGGGGTGGGCTGGGATGGGAGTAAAAGACAGAAAACTGTACTTGAACAACAATTAAAATAATAAAAATAAATAAATAAATACATACATAAATATGAAATATTTTGAAATAAATTTAAAAAACAAGTAAATTTCAAGCTACTGGTATTTACATTCTTATAAGTAGTGTGGACATGCTTTTGAGGCTATTTCTGGATGCATACATTTATATTTAAGTTAGGGAAGATAGGTAAGTTAATTAAAAATATGACTTGTGTGATTATACATGTTACAAAACTTTGCTTTGTTTTTTTTTCATTTTACAGTTGAATACTTTATTACTTGTAGATACAGTTCCTTGCCAAATGCATTGTTTTCTGTATTTGAGCAGGTAATCATTTCTTTCCCCTGGAAAGACACTTCACTGCTGTTTTTATTTCACATGCAAAAAAGGATTATCCTGCTTGCTTTGCATTGCTGCTGACTGGAGGGGAAAAACCTGGAGTGATGAACTGCAGTGACTCTGGGACTCTGAGAAGGTCTGAGCTCTGAAGGTCTAAGCGATGGTTCTTACTGCCTGATTTCGGAGCAAGGAGGAACTGGTGAACAGATGGTGATAACACGAAACCCAAACAGATACTAGTTAATTTTTAACTAGTTAATTTTTTCCTTTTTTCAGTTAGAGGATTGAGCCCGTTAAAACTGAAGTCGTCAGTGTCGCAGGTTCAATTCCCAGTCAGGGTACATGCCTGGGTTGCAGGCCATGGCCCCCGGCAACCGCACATTGATGTTTCTCTCTCTCTCTTTCTCCCTCCCTTCCCTCTCTAAAAATAAATAAAACAAAAACAAAAACAAAAACTGAAGTCATCATTGTGATTGTACTTGGATGGGCCCTGGGATTTCCTGAGCTCCTGTTAGCACCCCTGGGTTGGGTAGGGGTGATGGGGTACTGAATTTAGAGCAGTGTTTCTAAAGGAGTTATCAGGCAACCACTTCCAAAACTATCATTTTTTCACCCGGACCTCCCTGGATGACCTGGGACATATCAATATCACTAAGCATACAGGAAACTCACTCTCTCCCTCTAGCCAGAACTTTAGGCTGTTGTAACCAACTGCAGGGATGGCTTCACAAACACCCAGCAGCGGCTAACACCCTGTCATTCAAATGAACGCGTCGTTCCCAGCAGCAAGGCTGTGCCATCACACAGATGTGGGTTTGAAGCCCAGCAGTTGTGTAATGTGGGGTAAATAGTTCAAATTCTCTGTGACTCAGTTTCTTCATCTGTAAACTCTTAATCATTGGGGTTGTTGTAAAGATTAACTGATCTTATTTTGCACCTTATACATAGTAAGCTCTCGATGATTGATAGCTGCAGCGAAAAGAAGTAAAATGGCCCTGGCTGGCGTAGCTCAGTGGGTTGAGTGTGGGCTGGGAACCAAAGTGTCCCAGGTTCGATTCCCAGCCAGGGTACATTCCTGGGCCGTAACCCCCAGCAACTGCACATTGATGTATCTCTCTCTCTCTCTCCCCCTCCCTCCCTCCCTTGCCTCTCTAAAAATAAATAAATAAAATCTTTAAAAAAAAAGAAGTAAAATGATTGTGGTGGTTGGAACTCCTTCATTACAAGACTGAAAGTGTTTCACTCTCCAACATAGTAGTTTGACTGGTGTCACCCTGTGGAAAATCAGGATAACATTCACTTTTTCTCATGATATCCCCCACCAGCAATATTAGGTGAGGAACTGTCCAGAATAAAAGTTGCTCTTTATATAAATCAAGGATCGGTCTGTAATTTCTTGTGACTCATCAAGTGAGTCACTTGAGAAAGTCCCATAAATTATTATATAATGACTTCCACTGGAAAAAATGGAACGGTGTTTTTTACCAGTTTACATTTTAAACGAATTCTTCCATGCATCCAAGTTCTGTGAACAGAGTTCATGGTAAATAACCAATTTCCTGACAGATTGTTTCGATCATTTTAATCTCCCTAATTTGTTCTCACAGTGAGTTCTAAAGCTTTGCCTTTACATAGGGGACCGGAATATGAACACTTCAGATGCCTTGTGAGCTGATGCAGAGATTTGAGGCTGCAAGTGGCTGGCTAGCATGCCCCGTCTCTTAAAGCCACTGGCACCTGTGACAAATAGAGTATTTCTGAAAGTGACTCCCTTGATGCTGCTGTAGCTGCTACATGGTCTTTGCCCAGGCATCTCTCCTTTTCGGGTTATGATTTTTAATGTCCTTCTAATGTAAAAAGTGTTATCCCATGGAGGTAGTGTCTGCTGTTTTTAAAAATAATACATTCACAAGACAATCGTTAATATGCAGTGATTTTGTTCTTAAACAGCTGACAAAATGCATATTTGATAACCCTTTATTTACATACAAATAAGATGAAAAGGGTAAATAGTGTTTGTTAAACTACAGTAACATTTGGTAAACTCCCAAGGTTAAGGATGAGATAGCCTGGGAACCAATTAATAGAAGTTTAAAAAATTAGATCATGTGATGCCATTTTTTCCAAATTGTCCCCTTTTGCAGAATTGCATGTATCACGATCCTGGCTTCACTGTGTTTTTTCTCAGTTGTCCACCGTTCCAGACCCATTCTGTTAATTAGGCCTAATGGGCATGTGACTTAGGTCCTTGGAGCTTTTTTAAGGCCCTTTGAAAATATTTGAGTCCTGAAAACAAGTGGTGCACTCCAAAATCTGAAAAATAAGCCGTAAAACTAACATCGATAAATGTTTAATTAAATGTCTGCAGAACATAATACCATCAACTTCATTAACTGTTAAAATTAGTATTCATAAAATTTTCATGACATTTGGAAACAGTCTGTAGTTTAGATTTCCCTTTTTGTGAGAATTCCTGATATGCAAGAAGCTGATTATAAAATCTAAGTAATTATAAATTCACTGGGATGCCTAACCAAAAAATTTCAGAAGCAAAGCTGTAAGAATCATTCCATAATTTTGTACTAATAAAATAATAAAGTTTATGTGTGATTTGTACATATTTTAACATGTATAGTAAATATAATAAAATAACTATAATATAGTATATTTATTATACACAAAGTATTAATATAAATATAGCAATACCTTAAATTATTAATACTAATGCATTACTTTATACAATTAATTGTATTAACTAACAACATTACTTAATACAATTAATTTTTAGTTGTATCAATTAAATACCAATGCATTACTATATATTACTATCAATTTATTTATATTAATAATTAATACATACTATATTACTATGTTTATTCATTATATATTAATCAGAAGTATTAAGTAGTGATAAGTATAATAATAAAATAAAGTTAACATTTATTGAATATTTATGTGCCTAATATTATTTGAAGTTCTTGTCAGTAACAGATGTGCCATTGATTTTTTCCTCTTTACTTCATATCCAATTAGTCTCCAGTCTAATATTTCACCTGCAATTTTCTCTTAAATCCATCCAATTATTCTTCTCTTCTCTGATACCTGCCCCTTCCCCAGCGTGGAGTCTCACTGTCTCTTGAGTGAACTATAGCAAAGTCGTGCGTCTGCTGACTCCTCAGCTCACTCTCTGCAGTGATCCTTAGCTGAGGTTCGTTTAAAGCCCTTCAGTATCTCTTAGTGCTACTACAAAAAAGTACAAAAGCCTAAACAACCTACAAATCTGAACCATTTTACAGCCAGTCTTTTCTCAGTGTCCTCCTTCTTATGCTCCGGCCAGAGGAATTGAACCTGCCATGTAGCTTCTGTCCCACGGACCAGGAGAGGTGGCTTGAGGCTGGCCCAGGAGGGCTGTGTCTGGTCCACAGGACACTGGGAGCAGAGTAAGACCTACGTGAAGCTGAGGCTATTGTCAAGGAGGGGCTGAGAATTGGAGAAGGAGAGGAAGAAACTCACATGAGACAATGATGTACGCACAGTCTCACTTGGTAATACTTGGAACAGCCTGAGAGGTTGATATGGTGATTGATGCACGGATGAGGAAGGTGATATTCAGAGAGGCTGAGTTGCCAGGACAGCACAGCTTGTGAACATCAGAGTTGGGATGTGCAACTTGACTCTGATGCCAGTGTTTTTCCACTCACCACACCACCTGCTTTGCCGTTTTATCACCATTAAAACCCCAGTTACTTCAAGACACCAAGTATCTACCAAATAAATGATGCGCGAGCTGAATCCCAGGGTAAATCTCTGCTAGCTTAGGGAATTCTCTCTGAAGTGAACGGCCCAGCTTCATCTTGGGAGTTGAGATGGTCCGTGGGGAGGCTGAGTGACCTCTTCCACATATATCTACACTCACAACTGCATTCCAGAGATGTGAGACCACATTCCTGTTTTACTATTATAGATACATCTGATTTTCATACATCTCTATAACATACATTTTTCCAGCATGTTAAAGCATTGAAGCATTGTTTTCTCAAAGGTAAAATGATTTAGCAATTCCCAGAGTACAATGACACAGTATTTCCATGACTTTTAAAAGTACCTGGGTACATTGTTCCATTAGTTTTTATTAGCATCTACATAGAAATATTTTAAAAAGGTTCACTTGAGCGAGGCAGGTAACCACTTGGAGGCTCGCCTGGAAGCTGCTTACTCCCAGCCAACACATTTCTCATGCCGAAAGCTCCTTCTCTGGGCAAAGGAGCAGATGCGCGCCCAGATGATAACCACATGTGAGGTGGAAAGGCAGCCTCCGTCAGAATTCCTCAGAAACTCATCCACAATTCTACTTTTCTTTGTTATGTTCTTTACCCATGGTTTTAAAAATCTGTTTAAAGATGTAACAAAAACTTACGACACTTTTAGCTCAGCTCTTTAACTAAAATGGAAACCAACAATGGCTTCAAACTATTCTCCCAGGTTGTTTCCCGAATCTTTACACTAACAATGAAGAACACTTATTTGCACAATCTTTTATCTTTCTGTTGAAAGTTTCTAACACAGACCATTTTGATTATATTTCCTTCCTAATAAATCAGAATTCAGCAAATTAAATGTCTTATGTCCTATTAAGTATGAGACTAGAGGGACAGTGTGGCTGCTTGGGAAGTACCGGCACACAAGTGATGCGCAGGGAAGCCACACCACAGTCCCTCTGCCCTGTGCTTTCATTCCTGGACCTTACCTCTCCCACCCACATCCAGCGCTGAAAGAACTTCTGGCTCGTTGGAGGTGATGGCCCCAAACTGGGCTCCTGTGGGATGGGTGCCAATAGGTGAGTGGAAACTGAGGCTCTGTTGTGTAAAGTGGATAGTGCTTGTGCCCCCAGCACTAAGGTGTGTGATATGCTCTGGGTGAGTGTATGTTGCAGGGTGTTGTGGAGCAGGAGATGGGATTCAGAGAAAGACATATCTGGATTGAATCTTGTTTTGCTGTCTGCCTGTGCATGACTTTAACCAACTTTTCTAGTCTCTCCGATCTTAGCTTCTTCATCCATCCTTAGAGATCATAGTACTTTTCATAGGATTCCTATAATGAATAAATCAAATAAAGCACAAGTATTAGCTTCTTAGGGTTGCCATACAAACACCATGAACAAAATGGCTTAAAACAACAGAATTGATTCTCTCACAGATCCGGAGGCTAGAAGTCTAAACTCAAGGAGCTGGCAGGGCTGTGTTCACTCTGAAGGCTCTAGGAAAAATCTTCACTTGCCTCTTCTGGTGGTTAATAGCAATGCTCGGCGTTCCTCGGCATTCCTTGGCTTGTGGTTACCTCGACCTCTGCCTCAGGCTGCACATGGCCTTCTTCCCTCTGTATCCGTGTGTCTCCAGTCTTTCTCTCCTTTTAAGGACACTGGTCATTGGATATAGAGCTCACTCTGATCCTGTATGACCTCATACTAACTTGAATATAACTATAAGGTCCTATTTCCAAATGAGGTCATATGCACTGGCCCTGGGGGTTAGGACATCAACTATCTGGTAGACATCTGGTAGACATGGTCCAACCCACAGGAGTATGTAAAATATTTAGTACAGTCACATGTATCTGCACATTTAGTAACCTATTACATTCTCAATTTTAGATGTGTGAAAAACACATCTCTCTATCGGAAACTTTACTTTTGGTCCCATAAAAATCACTTTTGTGAGCATCAGTTTATTCACTTTTTCCTTACTTATATCCCATGGTGTTATAGTCATATATTCCCACTTTTGAGACTTGAAAGGTCAGTCAGCATGACTACCCCGTCCAACACACTCCAGAGCCGCTCTCATGCCCTATTGTCTCGCCCTTGCTGTCCAGCTCCAGGACAGGAATCTCAGAACCACACAAAGAACCTATTTCACCTTCTGATTGTCAGTAACTTCTCCCACATCTTAAGTCCAAACCTACCTCCTTTAATTTTAGTCACAGTCCCAGGTCTGTATCTGGGAGTACAATGTAAGAGCGAGTCTAATTCTTCCTCCCTGTCTCAGCCTTTCACGTATCCGAGTCAGTTATCAGATACACCTGGGCCTTCGTTGTTTCCCACTAATCAACCCAGTCTTTATCTGGGCTTTCGGTGATATGTTTACAAGTTCCCTCAACATTTTGGTTATGTTCTCATTAATACTCTTCAATTTGTCTATGACAAATAGGATTATTTTCTCTGTCAGAACAAATGGTGGTGTGGAATCCCTGGGAGGCTTTACCTCTGAAGCAGTGTGATGAAATGGGTGCTGGCAGTGGTCCAAAGGCAGCGGAAGCCGTGGAAGAGGCCGAGTCCGGGCAAGAGTGCTGCCGGAGTCTCAGTCTGTGAGCCCGGCCAAGGCCGGGCCCTGGCTGGCCACGGGGCCTGGGAAGGGGCCCAGGGGCACCCAGCGACTCCAGCAGTGTTTGTGGTTTGACTTTTATTTCACAGAATGCAAACAAATGAAACATAGGTACTTTATGTAAATAAATATGTACACTTGTAAGCAAGTTATTTTAACTGTAGAAATGGACAGTATTATAAACAAAACATTTAGTCTTGTAGGGATTACATTTTCACAACTGTAAAATAGCAGTACAGGCAGAACCTGTGCTTTCTATTGGAATGCCTTATCTCTGTGTTCTTGTGTTTGCTAATATGGCCTTATAAGGAATTAATAAAAATCACAATCAGGATGTAGGCCATGCATGTAATAAGGATTTTAACACAAACACAAACATAAAATACAGTCTATGAGGTGTAGTATATCTCAAAAAAATGTGAGGGGAGACCTCCCAAAATGAGAAACTATTTATAAATAATTGTGTATGTATTCTACATGTTTAAACTCCAGTCACCTTCAAAGTACTCTCCATTTGGTGCAATACACCTACTGAGGCGTTGCTTTCCATTGCTCAAAACAGTTTTTGAGCTCGTCAGTTTTGATACCTTTTAGGGCTTCTGCTGTTTTTTTGTTTCTCCTCTTCCACATTGGCAACATGTTTCCCTTTGAGGATTTTTTTCATCTGGGGAAACAAAGAAAAAAGTCACTTGGGATGGTATCAGGTGAATAGGGAGGTGAGGGTATGGGGTCCCACCTTTTTGGTCAAAAATTGCTGAATGCTCAGTGCAATGTGGACAGGTGCACTTGTAAATCACCCATCATGAAATGGGAAAACGTGTTAAAAGAGTCTTTAACAAAATCACTGAAGCTGTCTCACCACTGCCTGTCACAACAGAGGCAGCTGGTGCATGATACAGGTGGGTCCCTAGAACACTCACCAAGTGGGGGAAGCCTGTACTACAAGGGGCCCACTCTCCAGAAGATAATTCTGCTTTTTTTGGGGGGGGGGGAATCTACCTTCAGAGGACTACTTGTGATCTGTCCTACTGAGATATCTTGGTTAATTTGAAGATCAAATGATATAATGTGTAAAAGCAACATTAGCAAATGATGGTAGACATTCACTGAGAAACACCGTGTGCCAGGCTCTGCTCTCCGAGCTTTATGTGTGTTTACTCATTTAACCTTCACAACACCCCAGTGTGGTACATACAGGTTTGTCAACAGTTTACAGAAGAAGAAGCAGATGCAGGGTGGCTAAGTGACTCACGCAAAATGATATGACCAGTCAATGGAGGACCGAGGACTCGAGTGCAGGCAGTGTACCTCCAGACCCTGTCACTGCAACCACTAGGCTGTATTGCTAGGTTTAAACCATACGTGAAAATATAAAGTGGCCTGTTGGTGCAGTGTTACACAAAATGGTATATTTCTCATGAAAGTACTGGAAATAGGCAAGTTTTCATTCATTTTTGGAGATTACATTTAGTTGGTTATTTTTGTCTAAAATCAGCAAATTAGATATTAGATGGTCACATTAGACTAGGTCTAAATATTAGTTTAGTTACTGGATTATATTTCAGCTGTTTTGTGCACTATTAAGAAAGTCCTTATACTTGGCTTTAGCTATAAATATTTTCCTCTTACCTTTATGTGTGTGTGTGTGAACTCTTAAGAGAAAGATAAAGAAGCACCATTTTAAAAAATAGTATAGAAATGATATTCTACTAGTCTGAAAGATTGCTTTTACTCCTTTATTGTTAGGTTTACTTTCCCAGTAAAACCAAAATATTAATAATTTGCTTTAAATTCCCTTCTCATCTCTGACATTCCAATAATCATGGTCAGGCAACACTGCAATGAATGATTATGAATTTATAAGTTCTGCTTTGTACAAATGAGAAAAGGAAAACTATTGATAAAACTGGGCTTCTCCCAAATTCTTTCAGCATTTACTTGCCTGACCTTGCTCTTTCAAGTCACCAATACTTTTGATGGCTTTGATAGATGAAGTAGCAGGTGATTCCTGGTGATGGATATCTTCTTCCAAATCTAATGGGTTGTGGCACAAAAGCCTTTTATATTTCTGTTCCCAAACTGAGAGAGGTAAGGAGGTTATACCCTCTGCTCTCACAGCATCTTGGAAATCAGTGTTTGGGGAACCGTTACCATCAGAGGTGGCTGAGTAGATTGTAATTATTAAGTAGAATTGTTTATTTTTCCTTTTAACTTTTTTCTTTGTAAAAGATACCAAATTACACATGAGATTAATGGGATACAGTATATGCTTTAAAAAGCATAATGTGATTATGAACACAGGCTCTAGGATTAGATTTCTTGGGTTCAAATACATCCTTTATTGCTTCATAGCTATATGCCCATAGGAAGCAAGTTAATAACTCTGGGCTTTGTTTCCTCATCTACAAAACAGGAGTGACAATAGTAGCCACTTTATGCTCATTGTTAGGATTACCAGTTAATCCTTATAAAACACTTAGACCAGTAACTGACACATGGTAAGTCCTCAATAAATGTTAGTGATTGCTATTATTATCACTAAAGTATGCTATTATTTCTTCTTCCTTTTATGACTGGCAAACTCTTATTCATTCTTGAATATCCTATTACCCCTATTTCTAGGTGAAGTCTTCTCTCACAGCCATTTGCTCCTCTTTTGGACTTTCATATTGTATTGTCCACTGCTTTTATGAGTATGCTTGTGTATTTTCTTCTTCACTAACACTTGAACTCTCAGATATCAGAAATTATTTAATTTGGGGAGAAGTATATTAGGCACCTGCAATCAGTAAGTAAATAAAAATGAAGAGTGTGCTGAGATATAGCATGGTCTTTGCTATATTTATTATGTATTCTTCATTTTAAGTCTACCTGCAAGATACAGTTTATTGCCAGAATCCATTATTGGTAGGAGTGAGGCAACTCAGTCACCCTGGAGAAGTATAAAAATCCCAGTAAAATCAAGAATATGGTTTTGGAATTACACTTACTTTTGGTATCACAGTAGAAGACCATACAAATTACAAAAAAGATACCTAATTAGTTTCCTTGACTCTAATCTCAATACTTCCTAATCATTTCTATTTCTTTAGTAGGTTGTTCTTTCAAAAAAACACTTTCAACATTTTTTTTCCTGCTCCAAAACCTACTGTGTTTCTTAATAGCTAATAAAATGATGATAGCTAAATTTTTGAGTGGTTATTTGGTACTAGGAACTGTGCCAAATACTTTCATGTCTTACCTCACATAATAAGCACCTATGTTTATTGTAATAATTTCCTATTAGGAAGGAAACTCAATGAAATTTAAGACCTTTGTCTTTTTAAGTCAAAACTAAACTATTTCTAGATTCATGCCTGATTAACGCTCTCAAAATGTTGAATGAATGAGGTAGATATTATCATTACTCCTGTTTTATAAATTAGGAAAATAAGAACCAAAGAAAATAATCCTGAAAATAAAAGGTGGGTCAAGTTTTTAACATGTGTAATCTGTCTTCTTCTTGTATAGGACAGGCAGCCTAAACTCCACACTTTCAGCCTACCATTCAAGGGGCAGCAAATTCTTGTCTACCACAAGTTTTGGATAGGCTGCTTTCTCAACTGTTCATTGAACTTGCCCTGCACATTTAAAGAGGCAATGTGTTTGCCCTCCGTACAACAATGCCTTTGTACTTTTATTTATTTGTGTTGTAGGTATTGACCTAGTCCCTCCAAATAGCTTTTAGCTTTTAGAAGGCAGTGTGTCTTACTATTCTTTATTATTTCTCACTGGTCTAATTAAAATAGTTGAGCTTTACATTTAAAAAACAATAAATATTCATTAACTCAATGAATATGTATTGAGTAGCTAGTACTCGTGTTTTTGGATATGGAGGTGAAGTGACAGTCATAAAAGACAGTGCCCTCATTTTCAGGAAACTCATATTGGAAGGCAGAGATAAATAAGTAATAAGCTAATATAATAAGGCAAAAAGTATTAGTATAATGAACAAAAAATGGAGGAAAGAGCTGGCAAGTGATGGATGGAAGTTGGCAATGTTAGTGTGATGCTGGTGCTGGTGGGGAGTGGCAGTGAAGGAAAGTGTCATTGAGAAGACAGAGCTTGACAAAGATTGGTGAGATTTGAAAGAAGGAGGCTGCCATGAGACAGCTGGTGGCAGAGTGCTCCTGTAAGAGGCAATGACAAATGGAAAAATGAGAACAAGTGTGGTGTGGCTGAGGAAGGATGGCATGCTCGTGTCACTATGATCACTATGATTGAAGGGACAGACATAGGCAGGGACCAGACTAGGTGGTACATAATTGGCCAAAAAAGAAAGTTTGGACTTATTTTAAGTGCAATGAACCCAACAGAAGGATATTAAAAACAGGAATATCTGCTTTGTATTTCAAAAGATTATTCTATTAAAATAATTCTATGTAGAGCAACAGGACTCTCACTCATTGCTGGTGTGAAGGCAAATTGGTACAGCTGCTTTGGAAGAGTCTGGCAGTTTGTTATAAAACTAAACATACTTTTACTACACTAATCAGGATGCAGACTCCTCGTTATTTACTCAAAGAAGCTGAAAACATGTCCATATAAAAACCGGCCCACTAATGTTTATAGCAGCTTTTTCATAATGGCCAAACTTGTAAGCAACCAAGATATCCTTCAATAGGTGAATGGGTAAGCTGTGGTATATTTAGGCAATCAAATATTATTCCGTGCTAAAAAGAAATGAGCTATCAAGCCATGAAGTGACAGGGAGATGGCTTAAATACACTGTATGAAGTGAAAGAATTTAATTTGAAAAGGCTACGTACTGTATGATTCTAACTAGATGGCATTTTGGAATAGGCAGTACTATGGAGAAGTAAAAAAGATCAGTGGTTGTCAGGAGGTGGGAGTAAAGGGAGGGAAGAATAGACAAACATAAAGGATTTTTAGGCAGTGAAAATATCCTGTATGATACTGTAATAGTGGGTACACATTGTTACACATCTGTTCAAACCCATAGAATGTACAGCACCAAGTGTGAACCCTAATGTAAACTATGGGCTTTGGGTGATAACGATGTGTTAATGCAGATTCATCAATTGTTACAAAGGTGGCAAACGTTGATAATGGGAGATGCAATTCATATGAGGAAGTAGGAGCTATATGCGATATCTCTATATCTTCCTCTCAACTTTTCTGTGAACCTAAAACTGCTCTAAAAATGTAAAGCAAATGTCATCAAATAAAAGGGCAAGGATGAAAAATTGTTAGTAAGCTCTTATAGCAATCCAGAAGAGCGAGATGGCACAAGTGTATTCCGGAGCAGAAGTGATAGGGACGAAGGGGAAGAAATCCAAAGAATTCTAAAAAGGATAAACAAATATAAATGATGACCTGATTATTATTGCTGTTGTCACTCTAGGCAGTAGGATGAAAGGTCCTTGTTTGCAAACTCACCTGTCCATGTCTCTGGCCTGCCCTTCTCCAGAATTAGGGAGCGTTAGACAGCCAGTGCTCGTTGCCTGGAGTCAGAGTACCAAGTTTCAATGATGACCTTGCACAAATCAGTTACTAAGTTGTAACTAATGAGAGAGAAAAATACTTTTCAGGTAAATATGGACCATCTGCATAATGTAAAACAAAATAAAAAACAAAACAAAACCAAGCTTCATAAGGAACAAAGAGGAACAACAGATCAGGAATTTGTAGAGACTATGAATGCATTTGGAAGGTAGCTTGGAAGGAAAGACGACAAAAGAATGATGTTCACCTCGGAGGGAGAAGAATGGGATTGGGGATAGTATCTGATACAAAAGAAATACAGAATCAGAAGAATGTGCAGGAACTGTTGGTGATATTTGCCGTGTTCAATTCTGCCCGCCTGAGGCTGAAACAAGAAAAATAAAAGGAAGATGGTGATGGGTGCCATGAAGGACATAGTTAGAAGACAGTGGGGGTGGCTAGGAAGTCCTTGGATAGTCATTAAGTTTGCCACATTTTTTTGGTCTAATGTTTTGATGGAAAAATAACCTCATGAACCTCATACTTAAGGAAATTATATAAACTAGCAAATAATATCAAGGACTTTGGCATCAGAGAGACTTGGGTTGAGATCTTGACTTGTATTAGATGTGTTCTTAGGGAAGCTGCTTAATAATCTTCAGTTTCTTTTTATTTTTAAATGGCTACAAAGACCTATATTGTAGAATGATAAGATGAGGAAATGAAATCACACATGCAAACTATTTAGTACTTGCTAAGTAGTACCTTCAAGAAAGGAGTCTTACTGGAAAATTTTCAGACATCTTTCATTTATTCCACTGTTTTAGAAATTCACAGTTGCAGAGAAGGTTGAGACACATCATACTTATTCTTTATTGTAGGACACCTGCTTTCTCAGTTTGGAATATTGTTGAAATATTTTTTATGTCCTTGCATTCCAAAAACTTTAAAATGTATGTAAGCATTAATGCTTTTATCAGTGGTGTAATCTGTAAAATCTGTGACCTTTCAGTGTACATATGGAGTTCCTTTCAACTCTGAAAATGTTTATTATATTTTTAATTATTGTTCTGGTCCCTTTTTTATTGAGCTTTGTGTTCCAACATATTATTACATTTTACAAATTTTCCATGAGTGATAGAGTACTGAGACTGGTATGTGTGTATGTAAAATTGAAGTTACTAATTCTATTATTCTTTACTCTCATGATTATTTTTCACTATTTAAAGCTTACCGTTTGAAATTTTAATTAGTTCTCTCTATACAGGATAACTTCTTTTTCCCTGAATTTTTTTCTATTTTTGAAGAAAAGATCTCAATTTTTAAAATAAATGCTTAAAATGGCATATTGAAAGGTAAATTTAATACTTCTGAATTTTGATCTGTTCAAGAATAACTGTCAATAGTTAGTTTTCTAAACTATTGTGATTTTCCTATTTTTCCTCATGCTTAAAATATGTAATGAAAAATAAATTAAGGGATATAAGTGTATGTCATTTCTCTCTACATATTGTAAATTTACCCTTTATCATGTTAAAATTTCACTCTTCTAAACAATTGATCTGATTTTTACCTCTGTTGTTTCTGGTGCCAATTTTGGAACACCTAAACTTACTCTGCATTTGCCTCATTTATATTTGTTCATCCTTTTAAGATTTCTGTGATACTTTTTCTTAGGTTTACTTTTTGTTAACAGCATCTAGTTCAATTTTTTCTTTTAATTCAATTCACAAGTATTTTATTATGGACTGATTATCTGTCTTATGCTTGCAGATTTTAAAGTAACTGGAGTATATTCCTGTCATATTATCCTTTCCTTTCTATTTTTCTATACTTCCCTCTCTGTTGTTCCTTATACATTTTTATTTGCCTTTTTTTTTTTGTATGGCCTATGTTTTGTATGCTTATATGTACTTCACTCTTTTGGAAAGTATAATTTTTAAAAACGATTCCCTTTAAATTATCCAAAGTTATGATTAATCTCTATTCAGTTCATTTTCAAAGCTGTGTCCCTATTTGAGGCATGGTGTTAATACACTTTTACTTTCTTATCTTTTCCCTCTACTTCCTTTTGAAGATAACATGGAATTTTAGATGTAGATGACTTTTATATAATTGCATAATTTTTCCAGTATGCATTTTTTTCATGAACAGAAGTATATTGATTTTTAAAGTCTCAACTCAGGTATTGTCTCTTCCATTTTCTACCCTTACATAATGAAGATTTTGATTACACTGTCTGGACTTAATTATTTCTTTCTTTTTGAATCTGCTACATGTGTTTTTTTCTGGCGTGTTTCCTATTGGTATTGTAATTATTAGTTTAGATTTGTATCTCCTCAGTCAATGGTGTACATTTGCTGGTATTCACAGGACACAGGATAATGTCTAAGGTTTAATAGAAATTCAGGAATATTTGGTAAATAAATGAAGGTATAAATGAGTATAAAATGTCAATGTAAAAGGACTATGGTGCTTTATTTTTGAAACTCTCTGTAGATGTTGTTATTTTAAATGTAATAAGAAGGTGTTACGAAATAAAAGGTTTTGTATGACCTTTTGTCAGCTTCTAGGAAATCTTCAATTACTTCATCCTATATAACAATGATATGAATATCGTCTGACCAGCCACTGTAAAGGGCCAGAGTCCAAGAGGTACGGTCCTTGCTATTCAGGGGCATTTATTCACTGAAGATGCAGTGTGTTCAGCCTTGAGTAAGTGCCTCCCACACGCCTGCACTGACACACAATCTATCCTCTCAGCATTAGAAAGGATTCTTGGATGTTGTCATAAACCTTGAAGATAGCTCTATGAACTCACAGTTTTAATATGTTGATAAGTTTATTAAGGTCCAGAGGGTGAACTCCTCCAAAAATATTTAAGTGACTCATACAAGTTTTTAATTTTCTAATCCTCAGGCTTTGGATTTGCCCAAAAAGAAGGCCATTCACAGTTTGGTTGTGAGTCCATTGTGTCTAAAATAATTTGGTCATGTGTCCTACCTACAAAACATATTGGTACACACTGTGGAGGAGTCCTTACATTTAAAGCACTTTTAGAAATTTTATATTATTGGACATTGGTCATATACCCACCTCTTTATATTGATTTCATCTAGTAATTTACACACATCCTTAGCACCTATTTCTTCTGATTGAAATGTTTTCTTTTCTCTTTTATGAGAGATAAGGTATGGATGGAAAGAACTTTGAATGATTTAGATTTGGGTTTAATGTGTTAAGTTCATTTTTTGAACTGAGCTCCTAACAAGTGAGATGTTTTCTGAGCCAATCAAGCATGACGCCTGTGTCCTTCTGTACCCTGTGCTCGGGTTTCAAACACAGTGCAGCTGCCACTGCTGCCCCCAGCACTGGGAGCAAGAATTCCCACCCTGAAATTATTAGTGTCACTAATTCTGGACATACCACTCACTGACAATGTCCTATTTTACTCTTAAGAAAACTAAAATGATTGCTGTTTAGGATATGTGCAAATGATGTTACAAAGCTTTAAACTTATGTTTCTCAAAATTAATAGAACATTTCATATGAACACTCTCACTTTAAATATTAATAATGTATCTGATCATTGTAATTTCAAGTATTAAACTGAAATATCAGCAAAAATCATATGTGTGTATAAAATAAAGAGAAAAAATAGACTCATTAGCTCACAGCATCTTATTCATTATGCAAGTTACTTATAATATCTTAGAACACGGAAGTGAAACTTCATGATAAAAACAAAGAAAAGAAGAAACAAATGCCAGGAAAAGTAGTGGAAAATAGGTTTTCTCATCGGCACCCTCCCAAATCTTCAAGTAACTTTGGGGGTATGTATCAGTTGACCCCTCTCCCCTGCCCCACTGCTTCCTAGCAAATGCTAAGGCTTTGAAATTCTACTCTCCTGAAAGCAAGAGGTGATACCCTTTGCTTACATGCTTCTTTAGCTAGGTGAGATTGGGTTTTCTTTCTCTGTTTTTGTTCACATACTCTCTTGAAGATATAGGTACTAGAGTTTGCAAAGTCATTTACTTGCCTTAAAAATTTCCTAACTTATACTTTCTCATGTCAAATTAAAAGTTTGCTTTTTTGTAATAAAAACATTTGAGAAAGTTTCAAATAGCATGGCTAATGATGCATTAAATGTGAAAAACTTTTATTTTCTCCTCAGAAGGGAATATTTTAGGGATATAAGGAAATATCTTGTTGGTAGGAAATGGTTCAAACTATGCTTTAGTACGTTCTTGAAATTCTTTTGTTCTCCTGACCTCAAAGGAAACCGTGGGGAAGGGGCCCTTTGTCTGGTTTTGTTCTCTCCAATCTTTAGTGAAAAGCTTAGCCTAAGAAGACAGTAAATGTTGAATGAATACTTTTTTCACAGTTTTGTTAAAGAATGAAGTGGTTGGGAGGAGGGTAAGAAAAATTTGTAATGGGTTCCTTACACAGCATCATTAAGTATGTTTTTTTTCTGTAAGAAATTGTTTTCATAGCTAGAGATAGTATATCTCCTTGTAGATAACCAGATATCTAAATTGATATATGTAATATAAAAACAAATTTGGAAGTTTTAACAAATAAATATGTTTTCAACTTCTGCTTCCAAGCTAGATGGAGTAACAGGGGCTGCATTTATTCTCCTGTGTGAAACAGTGAGAAAATAAGGTGAAATGTATGGGAAACACTGAGCATCAGGAAAAGGTGGATGAAACTCCTTGAGAGTTGAGGAACTAATAGTGTGAATGCTATGACTGCCTCAGCCCACTGCCTTGAGGGAGTTTCCAGGCCATAGTACAGGTAGGGGGAGCCCGGGCAGAGCTTACTGGACTCCCTGCATTGGAGAGATGGAATCGGGAAACAGGAAGATCAAAAAGGGAGAAGAGAAGTCAGTACAGCAAGGTGAGTCAGGGCCTCATCCAGCCTCATCCAGCCTCAGCTGGCACACAGAGTTGCCCTCAGCACCATCCAGGAGAGACCTGACCCTCTTACACAGATTGGCCCCTTCTTGAAACAGACAGCTAATCCATCAGAAACTATACAACATTGGAAATAAGCTGGGACAGACCAAGACAGGTGGTGCAGGGGCAGGGAAAACACACACACAACTTACCCAGAAGACTGAACAGTGTCTCCCAAGGGAGACCTAAGGTCTCCACCCTTTCCGTTGTAGTAAAAGCCCCATCTAGATGCTGGTGAAGGTGATACAGGTGGTGCTGCCAGAAGTTGGGTGACATACCCTGAGACCTTGAGCTGATAAAAAAACAGAGGCAGATCCAGAAAGAGAAGTCAGAAAGCAAACAACAAACTCTCTTGAGATTAATTCCACCCCGCTCCTCTTCAGAATTTACATTATTTTTTTCCTTCTCATAGCCTTTTAAGACTTCCTCTTTTGTGTCAGTTGTATTCCAAGTAATTCACTATTCTTTGTCTTTTATTTCTTATTCTTTTTATTTAGATTTTTATATTACTTTAAATTTTATTTTTATTTCAAATCTCACAATGCACCCTTCCTTTGTCTTACTCCATTTTGCCTTCTTCCTGCCCTTTTTATTTTCATTTAAATCTTATTTTTCCCCATGCTATGCCTTGTTTCTATTCCTTACTCTTACTATTTCTCCTCCCTCTATCCTCTCAAAATCATTCTTCCTTCCTTTAATCAGCTCTCCTTCTTTTTCCCCTCTTATAATATTCTTATTTTCTTTCTACCTTTATAAATTGGGCAGGTTTGGTGTGGATTTTATGGTTGGTTATTGCTGTTCTTCTTCAACTGTATTCCTATTTGTTCACTATTTTTTAAATTCAAATTTCATAAGTTACTCTCCACTGTCTTACTCCATTTTGCTTTCCTCCTGTCCATGCTTATTGGAGTTTGGAATTTTATTCTTTCCCTTTCTTAGCCTGGATTCTATTTCTTACTCTCATTACTTCTCCTCCCACCATTTTCTCAAAATCATTTTTTCTTACTGTACACATCTTATATTTTCTATTCTGTTTCATGTACTATTCTTATTCTCTTACCACTTTTATTAATCCTTGCTTAGCTGTCATTATTATTGACCCTGTTGTGGTTTTTCTGTATTTTTTTCCCTTTGGTTCACTACTGTTAAAATTTTATTTCAAACTGCATATTATACTCTTCCTCCACTTTTCTTATTCCACTTTTCCATTTTCCTTCTCTGTTTTACTTCCATTTTAAATTTTATTTCCTCCCTTTCTTCACCTTGTTTCTATTCCTTATTCTTATTATTTCTCGTCTCTCTTCCCATTCAAAATCATTTTACTCTCCTTTAGCCATCTCATATTCCCTTTTTTCTATCTTATACTATCTTATACTTAATCTGTCTCCACCTTTATTAATCTTTACACAATTGCCATTGATATTGCTGATGTGGTAGGAGGTATTTTTGCTCATGTGGGTTTGGTTTTCTGGGTAGTATTGTGCTTTGTTAACCAGCACCTGTACAACAACATACAAGACATGGCAGGAGTTGTGACTCCCAGTCAGCAAGCCAGAGGGGAGAACCCAACAATGAATGAGCCACCAATAATTACAGTGCAACTGCACCAAGAAAGCCCACATAAACAGAATAAAGGGCAACCCTAGAACATACAGCTCAGGAGATCAAAGAGACTGCACCAGTGGGTCCCACAGAACTCCTACCACACAAGTCCCCTCCCCAAAGACAGGCAGGCAAAGCAGAGCAACCTGAGACACAGAAACAAACAAAAAGACTCACCTAAAATGGGGAGACAAAGAAAGAACCCCAAATTGAAAGAGAAGCAGGAATCCTCAGAAAAAGAGCTAAATAAAATTGAGGCAAACAATCTATCAGATATAGAATTTAAAATAATGGTTGTAAGGATGCTTAAGGAACTCAGTGAGAACTACAAGGAGGTTTATGGGAGCTACCAGGAACTTAATGGGAACTACAGCAGCATGAAAATGACATAGAAACTATGAGTAAGAACCAGGAAGAAATGAAGAATAGCTGGAGCGAAGAACACACTGGAAAGAATTAAAAGGAGATTATATGAAGCAGAGGGCTGAATCAGTAAGCTGGAAGACAAGGTAGAAAGAAATATTCAGTCACCACAACAAAACAAAAAAAGACTAAAAAAGAATGAAGATAGTTTAAAGGAGTTTCAGGACAACAAGAAATGTAACAACATTCACATATAGGAATATTAGAAGGATATGAAAAGGAGCAAGGGATAGAACACCTGTTAGAAAAAATAATGGCAAAAAGCTTCTCTAACTTAGTGAGGAAAAAAGAGATGCAAGTCCAGGAAGCACAGAGGGTCCCAATCAAGATGAACCCAGTGAGGCCTATTCCAAGACACATAATTAAAATGGAAAATTTTAAAGACAAAGAGAAAATCTTAAAGGCAGAAAAGGAGAAACAGCTAGTAACATATAAGGAAGCTCAGATAATGCTAGCAAATGATTTCTCAACAGAAACACTACAAGCCAGAAGGGAATGGCATGAAATATTCCAAGTAATGAAAAGCAAGTACCTACAACCAAGATTACTCTATCTAGCAAAGCTCTCATTTAAAATAGAAGGTGAAATAAAAAGCTTCCTCCCCAAAATAGGCTAAAAGAATATGAGTCCACCAAGCCAGCACTGCAAGAGATGCTAAAGGGACTGAGAAGAAATAAGAGAATGGGAGAGGGAGGGAGAAAGAGAGAGAGAGATGGTGAAAATGGCAACAAATAAGTACTTATTAATAATAATGTTAAATATAAATGTATTAAATTCTCCAATCAAAATACATAGAGTAACTGAATGGATAACAAAACAAGACCTGAATATATGCTGTCTACAAGAGACTTGCCTCAGAAAAAAAAATTTACACAGGTTGAAAGTGAAGGGATGGGAAAAAAATATTCCAATCAAATGGACATGAAAAGAAAGTTGGGGTAGCAATACTTATATCAGACAAAATAGACTTTAAAACAAAAGCCGTAAAAAGGGACAAAGAAGGTCACTGCATAATACTTGAGGGAGCAATCCAACAGGACAATATAACCCTTGTAAATATATATACACCCAACATAGGAGCATCAAATTATATAAAGAAAATCTTGGAGATCTTTGAGAAAGACATTGACAATACCACAGTCATTGTGGGGGATTTTAACACCCTACAAGTTAACAGTAGATGGATCTCTTCCAAAAAAGAATCAACAAGAATATTGTGGAACTGAATGACACTCAGATGGACTTAATTGATATACACACAGGGTCTGGCGGAAGTAACACCTGTTTCAGTATAGTTGGTAGGGTAATAATATTGGTGTAATAATTTATAGTCATTAATTTGAACATTTCACCTAAAAATGTCATATGATGTGCTTGAGTGTGATACTGTTATGTTATAGAATTACATGCTTATGATTTTGTAAAAAATCATAAAAGATTTTGAAATAAGAGGGGAGATATTTGTGCCAGACTCTGTAGAACATTTCACCCCATGAAGCAAAATACACATTCTTTACACATGCACAGAGAACATTTTCTTTTTCAAAAAAAATTATTTTAATTGTTGTTCAAGTACAGTTTTCTGTCTTTTACCCCCATCCCAGCCCACCCACCCAGCCCTCCCCACCTCCCTCCTGTTTCCACCCCGCCTTGTTTTTGTCCATGTGTCCTTTATACTTGTTCCTGCCGAACATTTTCAAAGATTGGCCAGATGGTAAGACACAAACCAAGCCTCAACGAATTCAAGAAAATTGAAATTATATCAAACATGTGCTCAGATTACAATGGATTGAAACTAGAAATTAACCTTGAGGAAAAAACTCAAAAACATTAAATTCATGGGGACTCAATCACATGTTATTAAAAAATGAATGGTTCCACAATGAGATCAAGCAAGAAATAAAAAATTATCTGAAAACAAATGAAAATGAGCACACATCAACCCAAAACCCATGGGACACAGCTAAGGCAGTACTGCGAGGGAAGTTCATAACAATACAGGCCAACCTAAAGAAGACAGAAAAATCTCAGATAAACAACCTAACCCTATTTCTGCAAGAACTAGAGTAACAACAAAAAACAAGCCCAGAGCAAGTAGAAGGAAGGAAATAATCAAGATCAAAGCAGAATTAAATGACAGAGACTAAAACAATAATTCAAATGATCAATGAATCCAGAAGCTGGTTCCCTGAAAAGATAAACAACCAGATTCACCAAGGAGAAAAAAAAGAGAAGACCCAAATAAATAAAATCAGAAATGAAAGAAGGGAAGTTACAACCAATATCACAGAAATACAAAGGTTTGTAAATTACAATGAACAACTATTTGTCAAGAAATTGAACAACCTGGGTGAAATGGACAAATTTCTAGAAACATACAGTCTTCCAAAACTGAATCAAAAGCAAGCAGGAAGCCTGAATAGCCCACTGACAGCTAGTGAAATTGAAACAGTAATAAAAAAACTCCTGGCACATAAAAGCCGTGCACTGTATGGCTTCACAGGTGAATTTTACCAAACATTTAAGGAAGAACTAACTCCTATCTTAAACTATTTTTAAAAATTCAAGAAGAGGCAAGACTCCCTCTTTCTAGGCCAGCATCATCCTAATCATCCTAATTCCCAAACCAGATGAAGACACAAAAAGTCTTAATAGGTGAATTGCATCAAATGGGCAGTGCTTTGAAGGTAGCTGAAGTTTAAGCGTGTAAGAATAAATACACAATTTTTTTATAAATAAATTCTATTTTTTGTGTCCCCCTCATATATTTAAAGTGAACAATGTAATGATTTGATATGTGCACACACTGTGGAAGCATTCTCACCATTGATTCAACACATCCACCATCTCAACATCTCACATGTTTACCTTTTTTTGTTGCTGTCGGTGGTGGTGAGAACACTGAAAGTTCTAATATCTTAGCCAATTTCAATTATACAATACAGTATTATCAACACTGTCACCATGCTAACCATTAGATCCTCAGACTTCATTAATCTTGTTACTGAACTTTGCCTTTTTTACCAACCTCTCCCTATTTTGTCTACCTCCTTCCTCCTGGCATCCACCACTCTCTGTTTCTGAGTTCCACCTTTTTTCTAAAATAGATTCCACATGTAAGTGATACCATGCAGTATTGGTCTTTTTCTAGTTTACTTCCCTTAGCATAATGCCCTCCAAGGTATCCACCCACACACACAACACACTCTATTGGATGAATGGTTTATTTCTGTTTCATTAAGATTGCTTTCTGGTAGGAGCTCCTACCCTTTGTGACAGCACGGATAGAACTGGAGAGCATTGTGCTAAGTGAAATAAGCCAGGTGGCGAAAGACACATACCATACGATCTCACCTTTAACAGGAACATAATCAACAAAAGAAAAAAGCAAAAAACCAAAATATAACTAGAGACATTGAAATTAAGAACAATCTAACAATAACCAGATGGGAACGGGGAAGGGACAGTGGGGGGAAGGGTTTTCAGGAACTACTATAAAGGACACATGGACAAAACCAAGGGGGAGGGTGGAAGCAAAGGAGGGAGGTGGGATTGGCTGGGGTGGGGGAGGGTGGTGGGGGGAAAATGCAGACAACTGTAACTGAACAACAATGAAGGAATTAAAAACTAAAATAAAAGAAGATTGCTTTCTGGAGACTTATCTATTTCTTTGGAACATAGTTTTTTGTTTCTATATTTTCTGTCTGTGTAACGACTCTGTGTTTGCACATTAGATAAATGGGGGAGATGAATGTAGCCAGTCAGGCTGGCCAGAATTTCTGGTTGCTTTTAAAATCTTTGTGATTTTAAAGCCATTTTCTTTGTTCTTAGTGGCTCTCTGTAGTTAAGACAGGGTATGCCAAGACCCATCAGTGTCTCCAAATGGAGGATTGCCGTCATCACCTAGATCCAAATGGATGAGAGGCTTGACCTTCAGGTAGCAGCTGGGAAACTATGCAACCCTCCCTCTTTCAGGCCGAGAAGCTGGGAGATGGATATTTCTGTCTGCTTCCTCTGTGCTGAACCTGGTGTTTAGTTGCAGGATGTGCTTCTGCGCCTTTGAAAAAACTGCTTTTATTCTTGTCAGTCCTATAGGGTTCATGAATGCAAGTGTTGGCTATGGACCTAAGTGTTTAGGGGACATGTCCCTCAGATGGGAGGCTTAAAGGTTGGGATGCTAGATATATGTGGTCCAAACCCTTAGTTCTTCAGGGAGAAGCCGGGAGTTGGAGGTTCCCTCTGGACTGAATGGTGCTGTGCTGGCTGGGGTTTATGTATAGGAATGGCTCAACCAGTTGGATTTCACTCAGAGGAAACTGCTCTGTGTGTAGATGTATATTTGGTACATTCATGGGAGCAGAAAACTTCAAGAGCCTACTATACTGCTATCATGGTCTAGAGTCTGTCCTTTTATGCTGATTTATTTTCCTGTAGGAAACACAGTGAGGTAAATGCAGCTTCCACAGTTCCATCATCTGTGAATAACTGGAGTTGGAAATTTGCTATGGATGAGTCCGCCAGCCCTTCAGGTAGAGAGTAGTTTCTGACAATGGAAAGCTGTCCTAGGAATGTTTGCAAAATGGGACTTTGTTTTTTGCATCAACCTCTACACAATTTCTAAAATATTTTAAACCAGATTTTATGGTATTTTGATTTTTAAGTGAAGAATAACTTCAAGTATCTGTTAGGTTGAGTTCATTCATGAATCCCATTGCATATGCCAATGTGTGGTTTGTTAGAGATCATTGAGGTACCCGGTGTCTGGAACCTCAGAGGATGTCTTAGCACGCATTCCAGAGCACCCCACATGTTTTCTAGGATGATCATTGCTTCTTGAATGTGAGAGCATAATAAGAGACTCTTCATGGTGCATATCCTTTTTAGAAACTGCATTGTGCCATTGTGAAATTTTTCAAACTTTGAATTTGTCAATAAAAAACATACTAAAAAGGAAAAAAGAAGATGGCTGATATTTATACAAAGGCTGCCCCCCCTTTTAAATAAGTTTTAATTCTGTTGAAACAGAGTAGCATGTGTAACTGTGCTTTCAGCCATTCATCTAAATAAACTTCCACAATTGTACAACGCGGAGATCAGAGCACACATCTTCAAAGCTAATTAAATCAATGTGATGAGCTCCCATGGCTGCTTGCCTTTTGTCTATGGCTTTCCAGTGTGTAAACCAAATGTGCAGCAGTGGGATAACAAACCTCTCACTTTTTCCACCACCCCAACTCTCTCTCTTTTACAGATCTGTAACTACTCACTGTCAAGTGCAATCTCACCTCTCCTTGCTCTATACCATCATCTACGCTGAACTTTTGAAGAATGTTTTTTAGACAACCATCTTTTCTCTGAACACTCTTTTGTCTACTTTGCTACAATAATAGCTTAATTCATACATAGAAAATGGAATAAGTCTTCTTTGCTAAAACTAGCCTCAAGCATACAATTTCTATAGCATTATTAATATTATTGTATCAGTTATTAATGGCCCAGCTGCAAATATTTAATGCATGTTTATTGTTTTATTATTTCCACAATAATTGTATGAGGCATTATTATCTTCAATTATCAAACAAAGAGACTAAGGTAACAAAGTTAGAGTAACTTCTGGGCAGAGACAGCTGAGACTAACGTCCAGGTCTTTTGATTTTCACCTTTGCTTTCTTTGCATCTGAGCAGAATGCTGGCTTCAGAAAACACTTAGGGTCTCTTCATTGACAGCATAAACTACACTCTACTGGCTTTAAATATTTTTTCTATGTTTAGTGGCCAGATGTCTCTGAGCAACTTATGGCCTTTTTTCCCCTCCTTTGGCTAACAAAGAAGTTGCCTTTCCTACAGCAAGAGGATTAAGTTTGGCTTATCTTGACTTATTTCTTTCACAAGTAAAAATACTCTCCAGTTATGCCCATGTAGCACTCAATTTCTTCACTCCTGTCCCTGAAAGTAAGGCATCAGGACACCTCATGTAATTAAAGGCGGAGCAATTTACATGTGATACATAGAGGACAAGTTCTTACCCAGTCCCTTTGGGTGAACTCGTGGGTGAAGAATTGGGTGAATTCTTATTCTTTTAAAGACATATTGCACTGAAACCATGTATACACAGCACATTATGCATATACATGTGCTCACAGAGGAGCTTGCAAAATATCGAGTTGGGGTGGAAGTGGCAGCCTTAGGTTTCATGGAAGTGTCTTCTATTTCAGAACAGAAAAGTCCCATTTTTCTAACACATCTGGCTCCTATTAGTGAAGGTTCTGCTGTCAGCAGTTACTTAAATGAGGGGAGGCTACGCCTATGTCACCCTAGGGAGGATCATTATTTAGTGGCTGGATTGGTTTAAGTTTTAATTCATCTACTAGGACAAAATAGTAACACAAATAAATGTTTCTGAGTTAGGAATGAATTCATTTTCAGAGTTTAAGCACATTCACTTGAATATAGCTTCATTGTTCATTTCCATCAGTCTTTATAAACTGAAACTTTCTTAGTAGACTGTCAAAACAACATGAGATAGTTATTTGACTAGTGACATGACACCTGGAGAATATAGCACTTTAGCTTGTCAGAGATGGTACATTGGGTATTTCTTTTTCCAGCATTATAGGAAATATCGCAGTGTGGTAATAAAGAATCTGGACTCTGAAAACAGACCATCTGGGTTTGGATCCTAGCTCTGGCCCTTACCCGTGGTGTGATCCTGAACAAGTCACTTTACCTATCAATATCTGTGCCTTAGAATCTTTGTCTATGAAATAGAGATCTTAATAATACCTCACTGTCCACGCTTGCAAGGATTCGATGAGTTAATATACAGCATATTTAATGCTTAGACAGTATTGGGTACATAGTATTTAGTGGAGCTGTTATTTCATTATAAAAAGTATATAAAATGACTTTAATGTTCTCTTTGAAATGCATTTAATAATACTTCACAGAAAAAAATTTGATTTATTAATAATCATTGTTAGAGTTACAAAGCATTTTCTATCTATGTATTTGAAAAAAGACATGCACATTCTTTTTAAGGCAACTTCAGTAATTGGATTTTTTGAGACCAAGAAGTAAGGTTACTTTATAACTAGACCCATTGGGGTTTGATGTAAATTCATTACAAATTCTTTCAGAAAATTCTACTTCCTTTCTTTTAGTTAGTTATTCTCTCATACTGTGAAGAGAATATTCCCTGAGGGAATAAAGAGAAGAACTTTAATCACCGTCTTCTCCATTTTCTTGCCCCAATTTTATTTGGTCAGATAAAATCTCCTGGAAATCTCAGTCAATCTCTCTCTCACCTTCCCTTCCTGCTCTGTCTGTCTCTTCTGTCCTCTTCTCTCTTGCTCAGCTCCCTGCAAAGTTCTTTCTCTATTTTGCTTAGTAAACTCTTAATCATTTACTCACCCTGTAAGACTCAGCCCATTTTTTTCATCTCCCACTTTAAATCATTCACTAATCTTCCAGAAAGTGTTGACTTTTCGCTTCTTGTTGTCCTCACTGAACTTTGTCATTATGAGTTATTATAGTGTAATTATAATTTAATGTTTGTTTATTATGCTTGACTACGACTGTTTTTGAGAATATCAACCATTAAATATCTTACCAATCTTTTTTATTGTTAGTATTTAGCGTAGTATCTACTATACATTGGGTGGTCAGTGTACATTTATTGTATAAATTGACTGTGTAGAGTGGATTTGGGCAGAGTTACTCCTAGATGTAACTGGGGAAGGTCTCTGACTAGCAAGTATTATTTGAAGGATGTCAAGGAGCCCAGTCTTTTCGATTCGTCTCTACAATTGGCTTGCTGCCAGCATCTGTAATTCTTTATTTATGATCACTTAAAGGTCTTGGTATGCATCTTAAACTAGCTAAGACATTATTTTGTCTAGGGTTAATAAAAAGTAACAAAACAACAAGCCTGTTAACAAGGATTAGTTTATCTGAAGGTGAAGAGATTAATAGACAGAAATGGTGAATTGCGATGTAACAGGGTCTAGTGTGTGGATTTTAGAGGGGGCATTGATCAGCAAGTGTGACCTGGGACACTGAAATCTTTGTGGGTAAGAAGTGGCCCGGGAGTCCAAGTGTTGGTAGGAGTATCCTGAAGGTCAATTTAACTCATGTTACAATTCAGCCAAGACTGTGCCTGACCGAGTCCTAATACTGGGCGGAGAGGAAGCTCCAGGTGAACACTCCACTTGAGCCCGAGTGCCGCTCTCCTCCCTTCGAAGGCGGAAACTGATCTCCCCGCGTTAGAGCTCACTGGCTTCATTGCGGTTATGCAGGGCAAGGCACTGCCTCCTCTTAGCAAAATAAATAAGGCTGAATAAAATAAACTTCAATGATTCAGTCCAAGGCAGATCTCTGCCTTGTCATTCATTTCTTGAATCCTTGCTCAACAGAGTTGCTCAGAAAGTTAATCTATCCACACGCAATTCATCACACGTGTTTATATTTCAAAAAGTTATAGAGATGGAAATTATTGGCTTTACAAACCTTGTCTAACCATTAAATCATTTGCAGACCGTCAAACAGTGTTCATTATGGAGGGGTCGGGAGGTCCCAGAACTCCACTGCCCCCATTTCCTCCACTGGAAAAATCTGTTGATATATGGAAAATAGGTATTTAAATAAGCTATCTGGTTTTCCAGCAATGACTGCAGGCATTTTCTGCCATATGTGCATTTGGGTAGGGTGCCTCAGATACAACATTGGAGCCAAGTTTACACAGTGTTTAAAAAACTCTCTGGCTAGAATTTAGCCACACTTGGAAATTCTATGAACAGTTTTACATAATTACTCTATCTGTTCAAGGCCAGTTTTAGTAGCATGAACTACAGCATCTTCTGATTTACCCATCCACTTCCACTGTTACAAACCACAGTGCCAACCAAGATTGCTTATACCTCCACAGGATCTGATCCATCACAGCAAGAATTGATTTGGATTATTCCATTTCCTTTACTTTTATACACATGCAATGGCTTCTCCTTCAAATTAAGTCCCCACTTTAATTTTGTAGTGCAAGACTGGTTCTCAGCACTGTAGACTAACCTTTGAGTCATATCCTGACTTGTACTCTCTATTCTACCACATAACAATTACTTCATACTCCCCTTATCTGGCTCCCCCTAGGATTAGCTTATTGTGAGCCTTTGAGTCCTATTTTCATATCTAGAAATTCTTCCCTCTTTATCTCAGCCACTGTTTCCTTCTTTCCCACAAGACTTTTGTTCTCCCTGGGGCACTGATCAGAATAACCTGTGTCTTTTCAGTATTTAATATATTTAGTGTGTTAATGAATAATTGTAAGATAATTAATTAAATCAATAAATTGATCAATTGTTTATTGATCACAAAGTTCTTTCACTATGGTAAGCACTATAAGTTATAAAATAATTATAAAAGATGTTTTCCTCAACTGTCATAAAACTATGACTTAAAACATACTATGAACATAATAAAATCCTAAATACTATGATATAGAGACATAAAGTATGACACAGTCAAGAGTTCAAGAACACTGCTTTAAACCCTAAGGACATTTAGTCCCTCTAACACTTTCCCTCCACCAGGCTATTGGCGTCCTTCCTTTAGATAACCTGTCCGTGGCTAGACTCACCTGGCTCCAATTTTCTGAAAGGTCCAACATGGTAGCCTTTAGCCACATGTGGCTGTGGAATGCTTGAAATGTTACCAGTATGACTGAGGAATTAATTTCATTTCATTCTAATTAATTTAAATTTAGATTAAAAAAAACTGTTATTCACTTCAATTGTTAGAAAGCTTTTATGTACATCTGGAACAACTTGGATGTGTGAATAAGTTATGTTTTCAAATGTACATTTTATAAATTTAAGCATGGATCAAACATTACCTGTGAAAACTTAGCATCCAAATGGAGATGTGCTACAAGTATAAAATTCACACTCTCTTTGAAAGACATACTATGATGAAAAGTGTCTAAAATGTCTTATTAATTTTAAAATATTGATTGCATGTTGACATGATACTATTTTGTATATTGGGATAAATAAAATATATTCTTAAAATTTATTTCTTTTTTTAACTTTTTCAAATATGACTGCTGGAAAAATGTATGTTACACATGTGAATTGAAGGGTGTTACCAATCTAAATAGATATGATCTGTACTAGATTCCTGTGTGTTCCTCAACCCCCGGGCCAGTGATGTGTCTTGGTTGCCCAGAACTTGGGTGCATTTTGGCTGATCCTCCCACATCAGTCTACAGCTTGAGATTGGCTTTAAAAACATAGTGCTGTGCTGTCATGTGCTGTTGGACTGAAACTTGGACCTCTGCTTATCCGGCCCATGACAAATGGATGTATGGTATAACTTCACTTTGATGTTTGCCTCTTTATCAAATATTTTTATTCCCCGTATCTACTTCCCTTGTGTATTTGCTATAATGACCTTAGTCTGTATGCTAGATTTTCTTCTCTTTCCTCAGTGTTGTGTGAGAAAATTGGTTCCTCTTTGGCTGTGGCTTTTTGTTACAATCCTTTTTGTCACAATTCAGGAAAAAGTTTAGTTTTTGACTTTTTTCTAAGAGACTGACTTTAAAAACAATGCCTCTCCTTCAATGAACCTCTACAAAAAATTCTGTCCCAACTCAATATGAAAATGCTGGATCAGAGTTTTGTCTTTGAGCCCTTCTTCCCTGCACTCCCCCGCTTTTGTTGCTGGCGAACCAGAGGGCATCGGGAGCTCTGGGAAAACCTCTCCGGCTCCATGTGCATAAATCCGTGCGAACTGTCAGTGTCGTCCTCAAGGTGTTTAGAGTGCTTGAGGTCCTGGGGTCCTTTCTTTATTGATTATTTTCTGAAACCTTTTATATGTGGTTTTAAAAAGTCATGTGTGCTTCACCAACAGATTATTCATTATTCATCAGATTTAGGTTCAGAGTAGCAATTTCCCTAGGCATTTCTCTCCCCTTTGGGAGATGAAGTCCAGGATATTTGTCTTTTTAACATTCTGTATAATTTGACCTCAGTGGAGTGTCCACCTTTACCTCCAGCACCCTAATGCTAGCCTATCCTGGTCTCTCTTGCCTGGCTCTCCTCACATTAATTCTTTATACCACATTTTAATGCAGCTCTTGCTGATTTTCAGTTAATGGTGATACCATTATTTAGTGTGATTGGGAGTTGTGAACTATAATAATAATAGTAATAATATTGTAGTTGATATTTGTATAGTGCTTAGTATTTCTTAGACACTGTTCTAAACAATTTGTATATGTCTACTCATTTCATCTTCTCTCAGTAACCTGTGAAATAAGTACTGTTATTATCTCATTTCACAGGGAGAGAGGTTGAGGTACAGGAAAGTAAAGTAACTTGTTCAAGATTGCACAGCTAATAAATAACAGAGCAAGAATGCAAACTAAGCTATCTAGCTTTCATGCTTATATTTATGTACTAGGCTAAATTGTTTTGAATACTTTGTCCCAAGTACTTAACATAGATTTTCTTATTCAGTCTTCACAACAGCAAGTGGGGAAAGTGATATTAGAGTATAATAACAGAAAGGATTTTGGAAGTGATGGAGATTCCACTTGGACATGTAGCCATTACTTATGAAACATTAGTCTTGATGTGCCCTAGACCAGAAGTCAGGCCTGTAGGTGAATTCTGGACCACTACTTGTGTTTCATAAATAAAGTTTTATTGTATCACAATCACTCTCACTCACTTATACATTATCTCTGGCTGCTTTTGCATTATAGTGGCAAAATTAAGGAGTTGTGGTAGAGACCATCTGGCCCCAAAGCCTAAAATATTTTACATCTGGCTCCTTTTGGACGAATTTTTCAACCCCTGTTCTGTATACCATACCTAAAAAATAAGATTCTGCAATTAACATTAAGATCATACAGTAAGAAAAACAATTGTTTACTACCACCTGCCCAAAACACAACTTCTTTTTTTAAAATGGTTATTGAGGTATAATTGACATAACAATATATTAATTTTAGGCATATGACATAAGTGTTTGATATTTGTATATATTGCAAAATTATCACCAAGATTAGTTAATATCTATCACCATATATAGTTACACTTTTTTTCTTACAATGAGAACTTTTAAGATCTATTCTCTGAGTTACTTTCAAATATGCAATACAGTTTTATTAACTAGCCACCACATTGTAAATTACATCCCCCTGAAATTAATTTATTTAGGACTGGAAATCTGTACCTTTTAACCCCTTTCACCCATTTCACCCATCTCCCAGTTCTGCTTCTGGCAACCACAATCTGTTCTCCATAACTACAAGCTTGGCCAATCTATTTCCTTAAAAACTCACTTTATTTCTCCA